CGGAGGCATACGAAGGCATGATGAAAGGAATTATCACTTAGGTTCTCAAATAATTGCTATGTCTCGACGTCATTTTTTGACATGAATGTCCCACCACAAGAAGAATCCACCATTTGGCAATGAGGCTCAATTAAGCCATAGTAAAAGGTCTGAATAAGTTGCCAATCAGGCACTTGGTGGTAGGGACACTGTTGGAGAATGTCATAAAGTCTTTCCTATGTTTCATAAAATTGCTCACTATTAATTTAAGCAAAATTGGTGATGGCTCGCCTGAGTTAGTTGGTCTTACCAATGGGGAAGTACTTTTCCAAAAACTTTTGTTGTAATTGATCCCTTGTTGTGATAGAATTAGCAAGTAAGGAGCTTAGTCAGTGTTTGGCTTTTTCCTTCAGTGAAAATAGGAACAGTCGCAACATTAAAGCCTCATTAGTTAAATTATGGATCTTCACTATAAAACAAATTTCCAGAAATTCATGCAGATGTTTGTAAAGGTCATTATGATCTAGTCCATGGAATGATGTGAGCATTTGAATGGAGTTAGATTTAATCTCATAATGAGCAGCGGTGGTGTTGGGTAACTGAATGCATGATGGTGATGTATGTACAGTAGGTGTGAAGTAATCCTTAAGGGTCTGGTTGGGTCCATTCAAGAAATTCAGGTTTGCCATCTCTAATGGTTCTAAGTATGGATATGGATATTCAAGCCTAGGAACACGGGAAGAGACTAAGGTTCCTAAGAGTGATTTCTAGTTCAAGGTCAAAACTCCACAATTTAGGACGGCAAGAACGACGCCCGTTCATACACCATACACACACACTAAGTTTCGACTCTTGTGCACTAAGTTATGAAAGCAAAATACCAAAAGATAAAATACTCTCAGCGGTTTAACGAAAATGCTTTACTCGTCTTGCGGGTGCTTGACGTGTATATCGTTATCTCCAATCTCCACTTGAACTCTCTATTTTTAGCATTTTGGTGCTTTGCTTGTGAGTATTTGCCTTACTTTTTTTTTCTTTTTTTGTTTAAGCACTTTAGTGCTGCGGTTGTCTTTATTTATTTTTTTCAAAACTCGGTTGCGCTCCGCTTGCACTTCGCTAATAACTTCACTTGCAAAAATTCGGCACACTTAGTAACACGAAAACATAAAATCCTAAACTAAAAATTAAAATAAGAATATAACTTTAAATTAATTAATTTCACCAAAAGTCCCCAGTAACGGTGCCAAAACTTTGTGAGTCGTTTTGCAAACCAAAAATAAACATCAAACTGTACCAAATTCCTTATAATAATGGTAAGTTCCATGTATCGATCTATAGAGACAAATGTGAAATTAAACTAATTTAATTATTAAAATTTCTAAATTAATTTTGATCAAAGAGATGATTGTTCATAAACTAATGATAATTAAAGTAAACGAAGAAATTAAACTAGCAATTAAAAGTAAAGATGAAGTTATGATATTGGAAAAACCCTAGGCAATGAATTCACCACTAGTTACATAAATAATATCTCAATTTGAAAATCAATTATGTTACAGTTCGAATCAAATAATACTTCGCAACTACAAGTCTGAAGCATTGATCAAGAGAATTATCACGTTCAATGTATAGGCACGAATCATCTCAAGTAGCACAAGTCGTTTGCTCTAAACTAGGGTAGCAATACGACTCATCCCTTGTAGTATGGCTCGTCTCATACCTTAATTATGAAAGTAAAAATAACTATTGCACGAAAAGTATTCAACAATCACAGATAAGTATAATACATGAAAGAAATAATAAAATATATATTTAAAAACTTCTTGAATACCGTACAACTTGTTCAAACCATTACATTATCAAAATTAAAAAGAAAACCCTATTTACTTGATTAGGATTTCATCAAAACCCTAGAAATAGAACCCTAACCACTCATGGAGTGGAAAGAGTTAGAAAAAGAAGAAACTAGGGGTGTTCGCGGATCGGTTTTGTACAGTTTGCGGTTTGGTTTTAACCCGCCCGCATCTATGCGGTTTGGGAAAAAGCCAACCCGCAACTGCCCGCAGTGCGGTTTGCGGTTTGTGCGGATAGGGTTTGTAGATATGCGGGCGGTTGCAGACGGTTTGCGGTTTACACTTTTTTCTTTAAAAATTAATTTTGAAGTTTTTTTTCCCATCGAATTTAGGCATTAGATTCATGTTATATATTTGTGATCATTTGACAACAATTTTTTGATGAGTTTACAAATAAAAATTGAATATCACTAACATTTTTGCCATAAAAAAAATGTATATCAATGCATTAAAGGTTGTACTTAATTAGAATTGCCAATTCGGTAATCAATAATCAAACTAGAAGCTTCATCGACCACCAGAAGGAAAATTTTATTAGGAAAAAGTGGATGAATCATCAATGAAATCTTATAAGGAACCAAGTTTAGGACTTGATAATTCTGCGACATTAAGAAAGTTGAGAAATACTTAAAAATAAGAATCCTAGTGTCATAGAGAGCATAATGGTGCTCCTGTTAAAGTTACAAAGTTGGTATATAAAAAATAATAATAATTAAAGTGCGGGCGTTTTTTGCGGGTTGCGGGTTTAACCTGCGACCCGCCCGCAACCCGCAAATTTGTCATATTTCAAACCGCATCCGCCCGCATTATGTTTGCGAAACCGCTCATTTATATGCGGGTTGAGCGGGTTGGGCGGTTTGAACGGTTCGGATAAACCGTTGCCCATCCCTAGAAGAAACCCTTCAAATGAAGCAACAATGTCTTCAATTGTCCTGATTTAGAATAAGATTCAAAATTCAAGATCAAATGTATCACAATTGAAAGGTCAAGAACCAAAATAACACAAATCCCAAATTATAAAAACGATTAATAAATTCACCCAATTTTTAAATTTTTACTTTTAGATTGAAAAATTAAAAAATGTATTTGGTTTACCATTTTTTAAAATTCTTTTCAAAATTGTTTTTTTCACCCTCCTCTCTCCCTCTCTTTTCTTATTTTATATATCAATCAATCATATTTTCTCTCCTCTCTCCTCTTTTTTTATTCCTTCACATTCTACACATCAATCAATTAATTTTTTTCACAACCATCTATTCAACTACCAAAAAAAAAATATTACAAACCATTCAAAAATAATTTTCAAAACTCATAACCAAATAAATTTTCAATTTTCAAAATTCTTTTCAAACACTTATCTTTCAAAATACAATTCAAAATTCAAAATCCTTTAAAAAACTAAAAACGAAGCCTTAAGATCCAAACACAACTGTGTTTGGGAAGGCAATTTGAGGCTAAATTAGTCACATACGGACAAAAGTGGCTAATTCAGCCACATGGAGACAAAAGCATGGCAGGAGCTTGGCAACAACCATTTCACAGGTAAATTTACGAAACTGCCCCCACATGAAAGAGGGGTTAATCTAGCCTCAGCGTCAGAAATATTCAAAGTAAAAAAAAAACATTTTTCCAAAAAAACATCTTTTCCCAAAAAAAACAAAGAAAGTTGAAAAAAAAAAATAAAAACATTTTTTTTGTTTTTTTGTTAAAATATTTTATAAAAATAAATTCAAACTCTATTTTATAAAAATATTTTTAAAATATTTTAATTTTTTTGTTATGTATTTGGTTATGATTTGAGTGTAGAGTTGTGAAAGTAGTATGAAATTTCGAGTTATATGTTTGGTTATGAGTTAACTCAATAATTTATTAATTGAGTTTTATTTTATGTGTTTGGTTACGACTTGAATGTAGAGTTGTTTTTAAATGTAAAATATTAACATTTTAAATTATTTAAAATTTTTGAATATTTAAATTATTTAAATTTTGTTGTTAAAATAATTTTTTGAATATTTAAATTGATTAAATTTTTCCAATTCAAATATTTTTTGAATATTTAATTTAAATTTTTTAGATTATTTACATTATTTACAAATAAATAAAACAAATGAAAATCCATTTTTGAAATATAAAAATATATTAATATGGGTTAATAAAAAAATGCCAAAATCGTAAATTAAAAAAAATAACGACAAAAATATGCTTCATTGAATTTTTTTTTAAAAACAAAACATGAAAACATAAATTACCATTCGCCACGTAATTAAATAAGGCAATAAAAATAAAAATAAATAAGGCAAAAAATAAATAATTAATGTATAAAACAATAAATAAAAATAAATATGGCAAAAATATACAAAAACATAAATTCAAAAAAAAAAAGAACGACAGAAATACGCCTCATCCAAAAAGATAAAAAAACAAAAAAAAAAACAAAAATTACCATTTGCCATGTAATTTACAAATAAATAAAATACATGAAAACTCATTTTTGAAAAATAAAAAAAGTTATTGTATACCAATAAAAATAAAAAAGATAAAAAAATACGCCAAATCCAAACCCAAAATTAAAAAAAAAATAAAAAAAATTAAGTAAAATACGCGAAATCCAAACCCAAAATAAAAAAATAAAAAAAAATTAAGCAAAATACGCCAAATCCAAACCCAAAATAAAAAAATAAAAATAAATTTTTTAAAGGAAAATACGCCAAATCCAAACCGAAAAAAAAAAAAAAAAAAAAAAAAAAAAAAAAATTCAAACAATTTCGGTCCTATACATGACGCTGACATGGAGGACCATTTGAGTGTGAGTTGCCCTAAGAATCATGTGTCAAGGGCAGTTTAGTAATTTATCATAAAGACACCTCACTAAAAAGTTAAAAAATCCTTCTCAAATCAGACTTTTTAATCCCAAGTTAAGATAGTCAAAAAAATTAAAAAGTCAAAAAGCCAACTCACTCGCCAAACGGAGGCTAAAGGTGGCTGAACTGTAGAGGGTCCACTGAGTTTAGGCCTGAAGTTTTATTAAAAAAAAAAAAAAACAGAACCTGCGTTTTCTGTGTTAAAATATCCAAAATGTTTCCTTAGTAAAAATGCAAATTATTATTAAAAAAAAAAAAAAATCACTACCCCTCAATATCACCCAAAAAATTAATTGACAAATAAATAGAACAAAACAAACTCTTTACCTTTCCAAGAATTTAACATAAGAAATCATCCGACTTCTCAAATCTAAAATTTTGAATGAAATAAGACTCAGATGAATCACTCGTAACAAGATAAACAGTCTTTACCTAACTTCCAGCACGATCCATACGTTGTCTAAGCCAATTTCCAAACCTTACACGACACAGCACAATCCAAACGTTGTATTGTTGATTTCTCACAGAATCTTACACGCCACTTCACCGCTCTTATAGGATGAATGATCTAAAAAAACTTTTGCTACCTACAACAACAGTTTGACAAAAGAGAAAAATCTTCCTAGGATGAAAAGCTCAAGGAAACAGATGATTAGAAGCTCTTTACACGGCCTGCAAAGTAATGTGTGGCTAAAGGGTCCGAGATTTTTAACTACTTAACTACAATTTAACATGACAGTTACAGCAGGAAAGGTAGTTGGCAAAGAACCACTTCAGATTCAATAATTGGTTAAATCACCGCTGCTAGCACGGGTTACTGTTCTAAATTCGAATGCTTTTTCACCAAGGTTGGCCTTTCCCTCCAAGCCGCCGAGCCAGTTCCATGTCCTTTTTCACTGAGAAGAAAAGACACGAAGATATGGTGTGAATCTCAATGTAAAGGTAGTGTAGTAGAATGGCCAAACCGGCAAGATTGACACAAGTTCAAAACAGACTAAACATAAACGGTGATCCACAGCATGGATAGGGCATTATATATCATTTTAAATGAATGCTAGTGCATGGGGACTCTCAGATGTAATCCCCCGACCTATACTTGTTTTTGCGACCCCCTCATCCTTATTGAGAATTATGTAAATAAACAAAGAATTGAAAATCTTAAAATTCGATGAAAATGGGCTAATGGTTGAGAGAACAAATAGCAACATTATCATGATACAGTTTTCTTCATATTCCCATGACAATATGATATTGCCACATTTTCATTATCAACAATGATATAGACCGCCACAATTTCCCACCCCCACCATCCCCCCTCCCCACACACACGCACGTGGAGATTAGCGATTGAAGGAGAAGAAAAAAAAAAATTTAGCCAATCAACACTCAATGAGAGTGCTGGGGTGTCCCCTAATGGGGTCTCCCCCGTTTTCCTTTCATTATATAGTTTCCTTCGGATTCCCATGACAATATCATCTCCGAGCAAGAGAAATCAACGAAATTTCCGGATTAAACCCTTGTAGTCAGATGTACAATTGTGCATCGCAATCTTGTACACTCTTTTCGGATATCCACACAAATTGAATGAGAAAATACAAACGGCCCTACTTTTTAAGAAAAAAATTTGACATATCAAATCAGTTGTCTTATCAACACATGCAGATAAAGCTGTGCATGAACAGAAAAATGAGAAAAAACAAAAAAAAATTGAGATATCCACTCAAATTGAACAGCAAATGAGAACACACAAGCGGCTCTATTTTTTAAGAAAAAAAATATGACATATCAAATCAGTTGCCTTATCAGCCCATGCAGATAAAGCTGTGCATGAACTGCAACATGGAGACAAGGCCTCAAAAAAGTTTTCAGTTTTGCAAATGATTTAGAACCTTACAAAAAATCATCTCTACAATTCTCACTCAATTGATCCAAATAAGAAAGAAAAAGAAAAAAAAATACAAATATATTATTAGTCCAAGTCACTATAGAGGTGATGAGGGTCTCCCCAAGAAGGGGTCCTAAATATTTTTCATATACAAAATAAAATGAAAAACAGACCCAAAAAAAATACTAGAAAGAAAAATCGAGATTGCAGAACCTTTCTAGAAAAATATGATTCATTTACATATTAACTCAGCTAATAGCATTATTCTTAGGTAGACTAAGAGCATTCCAATCTTTTTCTTATAATATACCTCCTTACTCAAAATAAGGAATTTTTTTTATCAAAACACATCCTCAGTAATTTCTTTATTCAACCTCTCAAATATAAGTATTTATATCTAATAAATTCTTATTTTATTTCGTTAAAGACACGAAGGATGTCCTCCTAAACGTCCCCCGATCATCTCCCTAGATGTTCCGTGAAAGTCCTGAAACTAAAGAAGAAAAATGTCCAAAATTAACTTGACCGGTCGACCAACCGGCCGACCACCCCTGTTTGCTTTTGTTTGCTTTCCTTTGCTGTTTCCTTCTTTGTTGCTGCTTGTTGTGCTGTTGCATTTGTTTTTATTATTTTATTATTAAAAAAATATTTAAATTTAAAAGTAATTAAAAATATTATTTTAATAGAATAGAGAAAGAATAGAGAGTTTGTTAAGAGAAATAGATAAAAAAATAATTCCTAAAATAGGGAATGAATTTTTTAATAATATTTTAAGATAAAATTTAAGTAGTCTGATAAGGATGCTCTAAGGCCTCATTTGGCATGTGTTGGTTTTAGCCTAAAAGTCTACTAAAAAAATTAAAAAACCTATAACTTATATCACAAAAATCAAATATTCTATTTTCTCTCTACTTTTTACACATCTTTTTGTAAAAAGTTAAAAAAATCATTCCAAACATACTGACTTTTTTTTACCTAACTAAAAAGAAAAGTCAAAAAAATTTTAAAATACCATGCTCCCAAACAAGGCCTAAAACTATCAGAGTGACTGTCTGAATTTTTTTTTCTGTTTTTTTTTGGGGTCAAGGTTTTACTATCAATTAATTAGTGCTTTCATCATAGCCAGTTGAACAAGCTAGCACGTGAAAAGGAAATTGAAAAAACATAAATAACATCTCAAAAGATCGGTTATCAATTTCTTCGCACTTACTAAGTGTAACACGCTTTGCATGGATTGCACATAGCATTGCCTCTTCAAACAAATGAACTAAATAATCTTCTGCTGCCTACAACAATGAGCAACAAAAAGTGACCAACCATTAAGGATAACATATATCTATATCTATTACTGACTAATAACTTACAGAAGTATATTCCCACATATAATCAAAACTACGAAATAAAAAGGAGAACTAAAACCCACAAATAGCCTTTCAGAAACAAAGAACAAGTACATCGGATATTTCGCATATTTAAAGTCAATATTGGATATTTCCAGACAATAGTAACAACGTTATCACTAAAATCCAGTATGCGTTACAAACAATGACAGACCAACAAATACATTGAGCAGATTTAAGACAATTTTGAAATAGCATGCCATGTAGTGTTGTTACTAGTTACTAGAGAATGCTTGAAATGCAGGAAGCAAAAAAAGACATTACAAAACCAAGTAGTCAGTATTCAAGTGATAAGGAAGAGTTCGTCTTTCACAATCAGTTAGGAAGTTGAATTTTTTCTTTTTTTTATCCCTAGATGGTTGATTTACACTTAATGTTTCAGCTAGGCAAATCATCAAACACTTGATGATCAATTCAACCAATCAATTAACTGACCAAGTCACAATTAGATCTCTATAAATACTGGGTCAATATTATCAGCTCTCCTCAACATATATCCGAATGTACCATGCTCAAATTGCAAGCACATTTGGATACGTCAAGCTTAAATAGTTTACTTATATTTAACAAGAACAAGCCCATCATAAACTGAGAAAAATTAACCAAAACTTCGAAAATTTGGGAATAAATCTATTAAAAAATAAAATGAAGGTATATGCAAGCTCAAGTCTACATACACATATAAAATGCACATCATTACCACCTATTTAAATGCATGCATTCGTGCAAGCACATTCACACACTCATTAACTGGGGAGGAAATTTACAATACCTCCTGAATTGCCACTAAAGCTTCAGCTGTCCACCGAATGACTTTGGGGGCAAAAAAATTGCTAATCTCTCTCACCTACCACAGATGATGAGAATTGTAAGCTATGCCAGTCAAACCACACAATGAAATCAAATGTGTACAAGTAAACAAAAAGAAAATAAAGAAAAGAGAAGCATTTGCGAAGAATTCCATGTACAATTCTAATATTTATATTATGATGATTTGACATACAATTGTAGAATACTAAGAGCATTCTGCATGATAGAGAACCATAGGAGACTGCATTAGTTAAGCAAACAGTAGGTAGTGTAAGAATTCTGCTAAACTCAAGGCTTCCCCAAGTTCACTTTTATTAAATTTTACTTTCTGTGTAAAAAAAAAAAAAGAGTATTTATTTATTTTTTTCTTTAGAAAAGCATCAAAATGATGCAAAAAATACAAAAATGCCGCCACCAAAGGCCCAAACAAAACTATGAAATCAAATCATCTACAAAACCTACAAAACCCAAAACATCTAGATCAACCAAACCCGTAACCCAACTATATAACACCATATGAATCTAAAAAAAAAAAAAACTATATAACACCATGAGAAGCCACCTCTCTAACCAAGGAATCGAATGAGACACCCTGTAAAACATGCCTAGTACGCTCCAACCAAATGAATCATATTAAACAATGGGAAGCAATCATCCACGCCTTCCAGCGCCTCCTCCCAACCCTTCCCCCTACCCAAATTTGCAAAACTACCAACACAAATCCTGCCTGCACCCAAACCAAACCAAAAATTGCAACAATAAGCATCCAAAGCCGATAAGTAACTAGTCAATGAATGAGCAAATGGTCCATCGACTCCGCATCATCATCACATCACAAACAGCACCAATTCACCAAGATATGCCCACAACATATTAAATTATCAATTGTCAAAATATGCCTTCAAGCCGCCATCCAAACAAAGAAAGCTACCTTGGATGGTGTGCTCGCCACCCAAACGCACTTCCAAGGAAACAACACCGCGTCATCATGCACAAGCGCACCATAAAACAAAGACACCGAGAAAGTAATTGATACAAAATAATTGAGTAAAGCATTATGAATGGTAAAAGAAATATGTAGAATTAGTTGAATACTGAAATAAAATAAAATAAATAAATCAATAAAACTTTCACCACAATCCCCGCACGATTTTCCCAATTTAAATCAAGGAAGTTTTAGATGAAAACATTTTCCTCAGCACGTTCCATTCAATATAAGTAGGAGAAGAACCCTGCTAGGTATTATCAAAAAAAAGAGGAAGTGAAACCAAGTTAAGATGATACGAATCAACCCCCTCTTCTTAGGCCAAAGATCTTACCATTTTTTAAGGAACTGGAGTGATATCTCTTTTGCATTTACATTCAAGAGTTCTTACGTGTTTATTGTTGGATGTTTGCTCAATGAAATGGGTAGGAAAGGTGACCAATTTGTGGTACAACCATAGAAACCCCTACGCTAAGAAGCACGGACACTTCTAAAAAAGTGGCTTATCTATGTCGTGTCCATGTCAAACACCGACACTTGTTGGACACTTCCCGACACATATCCGACACTCGTCAAAACATGTCCTAGTTTTTAAAAATCTTTTTAGATCTGGACACTATTTGGACACTCATGTCCATTACTTAAATACACGTGTCCATCGATTAGATACACATGAAACTATTTCTAATTTTGAACAAAATAACTTAGAATACAATAATAAAAGGAAAAAAAAAATTTAATTTATAAAATAAGTATATATATTATATTTTTCTATTATCTTCAAATGATATATTTATATATATAACATATAATAAATATATAAAATTATATATTTAATGTGTGACTCCCACGTGCCGTGTCATGCACTTTTTGAAAATTGACATGTCGGCATGTCTGTGTCGTATCAATGTCGTGTCGTGTGTCCGTATCTATGTCCGTACTTCTTATCCCCTACCCATTGAGGAGCCAAATAGAAGGAGCCTAGATGTGCCCACAAATGCAAGACATCTGTAGGTGCTTCCTCAAGATCTAAGAAGCACGGGTGCGGGTACGAGTACGGTACGGGTACGAGTGCGGGTACGCCGATACGGCAAAACCTCAAAAAAGTAGGATACGGGTACGGCTGCGGTACGCCGATATTTTTTTTTTTTATTTATTTTTTATAATTATGGTTAAAAGATCCAACCTACAAATTGAAATTAAATATCAAAACTAAAAAGTATGATTGATTATTAATTTTGTTCTAATTAATTTTTATAATTTTGTTCTAATTAATTTTTTTGATTATTAACATTATATAAGTATGATTGATTATTAATTTTTGTGTTCTAATTTATTAATTTTTTTGATCTATTTTTTTAAATAATTTATAAAGGCTATATATATAATATATAAATAAAAATATATCATACACATATATATTATATATAAGTATAATTTATAACAACATAAATAAAAATATATAATAAAAAAATAAAAAGTTATAATAATATAATATAAATTATAATTTATACTATATATATATATCTATATATAATATCCATATCTAGGTCATAGCTCTGAGAGAAAAACAGAGTCGAAGAGAGAGGAGAGAAATAGGCGAAGTGAGAGAGAGAGAGAGAGAGAAAGAGAAGGCGAAGGTCGTCGGAGGTCGTCAAAGGTCGATCGAAGGTCGTCGAGGTCGATCGAAGGTCGTCGACGTCGATCGAAGGACGTCGGAGCCGTCGGAGCTTCAAACCAGGTACTCCTCTCTTCTCTCCTCTCTTCTCTGTTTCTTCTCTTCCGTGTTCGGAACAACTGAGTTCTGCCGTACCCCGGCGTACCCACAGCATACCCAAGCCGTACCAGTTCTCCCAAACGTACCGAGACACTGTTTGCCGTATCCGGTACGCGTGCAGCCGTACCGGTACGCATACCAATACCCGGTAAGTACCCGGTACGAGTACGGCACCATTTTTGGAGTACCCGTGCTTCATAGCTCAAGATGGGTTGATCCATAGTCTGACCAGCCATTTAGGGTATAGTCGCAAGAAGCCAGTGGCCCACGACTAATGGACATGAGTTTCATGCACCAATGGCCGCTGGTGACACTCAAACTCATGACCTCTTGACCACCAACCTCAAGTGGTAATCCAATGTTGAGCCTAACACTAAACTGGAGAATACGTACCCATCAAGTTCCTTAAATTAATTTGGACAATAAAAAGTTATAACGTTTACTAACATTGTATGGGTAAGGATGCAGTTCCCAAGCCTATCCCAATATTGCCAAGAATATAGATCATTTAAATTTTATACACAAACCAATAGATAATGTAATTACCTATATGCTCTGTGTAATTATTATTGCTATTTATGGCACATACAATGTAATGGCTTTTATAGTAAAATAGTTGGAATTTGGTACAGAAATCTACTATTGAGTGGCTTTCTTGCAAACTGTAGATAACTAAACAATGCATAATGGTAGTTCTCCAAATTGGGATTATGAGGGCATTAGCATTTTTTGATAATAGTAGTCTCTGTACTCTAATTGGGGGAATGAAAGTTGAGGCAGTTGTTGAACTGAACACAAAGAACGCGTCACTTTGCTAAAAGAATTTTGAGTCTCTATTTGAGGGACTTTTGTTGTATGCAATTAGGAAAACAAAACAAAAGAAGCAATAAGAAAACAGTAACATCAAGTTGTGGAATCATAAGAAGCAATGAACATAGAAGAAATCAATGGCTTTTTAGATTAGATGCCTCAAAAAAACTTAACATGAATTTAAGTTCATAGATAGGTCTTATGACCACTCTCATTCTATCTAAGATAAATAGCATGTAGTTCATCCGAAATTAAAAATCACCATCCACTAGATAATAAACTAAACGCAAACAAATATCAGTCATTATTATGTATGTACATTCACAAATAAATATGTGTGTATATAAGGTCCCATAAAGTTTAGCAGTTCAAGTAAGGCCTCACGGAGTTGAGCAATTACAATATGCCTAAAGTTACAATCATTTGCAATAACTCTTATCATCAATGGAATCAAGCAAAACAAATCATTGTTTCAACTTAAATGTGAATACAAAGCTTACATAAACAAAAGTATATATGACTGTTATCAAGAAGAAATCAAATTGCTACACAAGAGGGCTCACAGTTCTAATGAAAGGAGCGGCTGGAATGAGAAGCTTCCAGGTCTTTTGAAAACGCCGAATCTCCTGAAGAGCCACTGTACCTGGCCTTCTATGAGGCCGCTTTCTCCGCCTCGGCTCCTCTCTTGAATCTGAACATCAAAATCCTCAACTCAATTCCCAAATCAAATTTACCAATGACATAACAAATACATAAATAAAAATCATCCTTATCACCACCAACTCAAAAAAAAAAAAAAAAAAAACCCCCAACAAAAAAAATTATAAATGAAAAAAAAAAAAAAGCAAATAGATAAACTCACTCGAAGGAGCAGTCCTCACACTTCTTCTCCTAGGTGTCTGCTAAAATTAAAATTAAAATTAAAAAAATTAAAAAGTTAAAAAAAAAAAAAAAACGCAAAATATCAAATTAAACGTTTGGAAGATGTTCACACACACCTATACATACACAAATTAAGCTGCAGAAAAGTAAAATTGGACAAAGCGCGCGCGCGCGCGCGCACACACACACGCATATATATAAATATATAGAGAGAGAGAGTACCGAACTCGTTCCAGCGGATGCTGGTGAGGTTACTCCTGCAAACATGATTGTAGAGACAGAGAGATGAGAGTTAGGGTTTGAGGAATGAGGGAAAAGGGGAGGAAATTTGAACAGAACAGAGTTGTAGAGAGAGAAATTATATATATATATATATAGAGAGAGAGAGAGAGAGAGAGAGATGTGTACCGGAGATTCGACTACGAAATAGTTTGCGTTGGGCGGCATGTTTGGTCCTCGCCATAGATTTGAGGTCCGAGGAGGCCAATATAACTATTGCCTACTGATTAAAATTTGTCTTTTTCTCTTCTGATTCCGATATTGATTTTCAGATTCAAAGGTCTACTCGGAGATTTGAGAAATTTTCAACTCTTTCTCTCCTTTTCTTTTCTGGGAATTTTCTGTGAATCTGAAAATTAAGAAATAAGTAAAAATGAATTCAATTAATAGTTTCCCGCTCGATTCAGCGTTCTACTCTCGGAGCGACGCAGATTAGGAAATTAGGACCAGTTTGGCCCTCTTTTTTTTTTTTTTTTTTTTTTTTTTTTTTTTTTAATACAGTTGAATCTAAAATACTTAATGCATTTAACAAGTACCAAAATAAAATTTACTTTTTGTTTTTTGAGAAATTTGAAATTAATTTTTTTTAGCATTAATAAAAAAAAATAAAAAATTTGATCTGTCCAGATAAGAAGTACTTGATAAACAAATTTTAAAATTCATTTATAAATACAAAAAAAAAAAAGTGATTTTTTTTAACACTTGCAAAACATGTTGGGCATGTTTGATTGTGTGGATTAAAGCATGAGATTGGGATTATTAATCCGTGGGCCCAATTATCCTATGTTTGTTTTACCATTTTGGTTTAGGATTATTAATTCAATGGATAATTAATCCAACAAATTTGTAAGATTATTAGTAATGAAGTAGGGGTGGGATTATTAATCCAATGGATATTAATCTAATTGAATAGTGAATACCACACTAATTTAATAGGATTATTAATACTTCACTATTAATCTTGTGAATCAAACATGACCGTTGTGTTTTGCTAGAATATATGTATACTAGCGTATGTTCATGCCTGAAGGCACGGTGTAAATGTTAGGATTATAATATAATTGTAATTCCAACATTATTTAATAAATTATTAATTATCAATTATATTTAATAAATTATTAATATAATTGTAATCCTAACCATTCATGTCTCAAAAATAAATTATCAATTATAGAGATGAAATTATGCCTTCAACCTGAAAATTCCTGTTTTTATACCAAGAAAATGGCATAGGTAAACAACCATTGTTGAGTTTTGGATCAATTATAGAGATGAAATTATGCCTTCAACCTGAAAATTTCAGTTTCTATACAAAGAAAATGGCATAGGTAAACAATCATTGTTGAGCTTTGGTGACCCACCATAAAACAAACTCAAAAATATCTAGCTAAGTTCCCAGAAGTTGTGGGAGTTTCCAATCAAATGAAGGGATTTGAAATTAAACTTTATAAGAACATAGGCGAGTTTTCAAATGAAATTCAATTAACGCCCAAATAGTTTTATTTTAATTTAATTACGTGTTTATGCGATCTTTAAGTTGTTGTTCTGTTTTTTTATTTACAGTCAACAATAAAGTAAAAAGTTTTGCGAACAAGTAAAGAACAAAGTTTTCCAACAATCAAAGCACATCCAAGCTCAATGTTTGAACTTTCAAGGAAGAAGAAAAAAAGAAGCCTGAAAACAAAAACCTATTTGATAAATTTTTTGCAAATTTTCTACAGACTAAAAAGCCTAGAAATAAAACGTCCACTGTTTAATTAAGATTGAGATGAGCTCAACTCCAAAATACATTATTATTGACTCCAAAATTGGACATATCTCTATAAAGTTACATGTCAAATAGAGGGCAGACTATTGCAAAAGGGAAGCACTGTGTGCTGTACATGAAATCTTAAAAGTAATACAAAATATTATCAACCAACAAATCCAAACAACAAATCATTTAGGATTCAGAATTCAAATAACAAATCCAAACAACATAATCAACCAACAACAGCGATCAAGAGCAGAAAAAGGAAAATTCAAGAGACAATGTAAAATATCTCTATTTTGGTGTTGAACGATAGGTCTTGAAGTCACTGTTGGGAAATTAAAAAACATTAAAAAAAAATTGAGTTATTGACATAGAATGGTAAAGCTACAGAAACCTTAATAAGGTCTATTAGTGTGTCCCCAATCTGAGAGTCCTTTACATCATATATAGGACAATTAGTAGTTATGGGTCATCACTCATGTCCATCTAAGTGTGTCCATCTCTCACCGCACCCTTTGCCTTCTTCTATGCAAACATTTCAACCGTCATATTTGTAATCTCTCAATCTCCTCTTCTGTTTATCTTTGCTATTTTCATCTTACCCTTTCAAATGCCAACCACCAATCTTATCATTGTCCGTAATAATTTTTAGAGAAATAATCTTGTAATTTAAACATCTAATTGATTGTCTTTTGGGGTTTGAACTATTCTTAAATCACCCATGCAAGATTATTATACATTTTTTTGTGGGTTTGGTTCGTAACCAATGAGGATACATCCCTCTAAACAATACCCAATCCTAAACCCCAAAACAAAAATCGCCCAGCTGCTACCACCATAGAATGAAAATTAGACTATCGCAAGAGCAGCAGGGAATCATTCCTTCAAAACCTACCTATATAAGAACAAAAACCTCTAAACCATAAACCTACTTAACAAACCTAAATATTAAAATAAAAATAAAAATAAAAAAGCACAGCCATCTTCAACCAAAATGCATGGTGTATAGCAGCCATAGTGTCAAAAGAAAGCTATGTGTCTTCGATCTCGCATAGTCTTCAAAAATCTTCCAAACCCAAACCATCTTCATGAGCCTTCTATGTGGTTGAAGCACCAATTCAGCTAGTATGAATGGTTTGAAAGCAGCCACATCAACTTGAGGAATTATGGGATTTCGAACATGGAAATGCACACAAACCAAAATTTTACCAATACCAACACAGCCCTGTTGATGACTGCAACAGCCCACTTTTAAGGGACCCACGGACATAGCAACACAAATAGAACTCGTAAATATCATCAACATAAGGTTACAATATTGCAACAGCCAACACAAAGCATCAAAATTAGCTTCAGCAGAAAACAAAACCATATTCTCACATGTTACCTCACTCTATCTTACTCACTCACTATACACTACTTTTTTCTCCCGTCTAAGTCTCTACGTCCTCATTTCTCGCCTTATTCTAACTCTACCAGCCCACTCTTTTTTTCTTATTTTTTTTTTTAAAAACTCTCCATAAGGTAAAATTCCAAACCAAGCCATGTTTACGTTTCACACCACATAACATCTAAACAGCTAACAGAACATCCCACAGAAGGAACAAACAGCCACTGCCCTAGCCTGCTATTTCAGCAGTAGCAACAGCAGAGTAACAAGTAGCAATCAGATTCCTACAAAGGCAAATAGACCCATATTCACCAGCATCAGTCACTGCTAGGATCAATTTCTGTGTCACTCACTCTTTACCACTCTATATAGAAATGCAACAATACTAAAAAAAGCCTGCAAAAGGGAAGCACTGTGTGCTGTACATGAAATCTTAAAAGTAATACAAAATATTATTAACTAACAAATCCAAACAAATCCTTCAGGATTCAGAATTCAAACAACAAATCCAAACAACATAATCAACCAACAACAGTGATCAAGAGCAGAGAAAGGGAAATTCAAGAGACAATGTAAAATACCTCTGTTTTGGTGTTGAGCGATGGGTTTTGAAGCCATTGTTGGGAAATTAAAAAACATTAAAAAAAATTTGAGTTATTGGCATAGAATGGTAAAGTTAAAGAAACTCAAGAAGGTCTATTAGTGTGTCCCTAATCTGGGAGTCCTTTGCATCATATATAGGACAATCAGTAGTGGTGGGTCATCACTCATGTCCACCTGTGTGTGTCCATCATATATATATATATATATATATATATATCAGTTTCTTGGTCATTCCCATAATAAGTATGAAAAACAAATATCCAAGGTAGGTATCATTCACAATTTAAAAGAAGATTTCATATCAGACCAAGTACTGTGAGTGAATATGCATTTTCCCCCTAAAAAGTGAGTGAATATATCATAATTTGATATCTTATTTGATTCTGTCATAACATTGACATTACCAGCACTTAGAGCATTCAAGCACTGTTAATCAAACTCTCTGTAGGAAAGTAAGTGAATCTACATTTTTCCCCCAAATAATGACCCTGTTTGGTAGGGCTTATTTCCAACTTATTTCAGTTTTTAGCTTAATTTAAATTATTTTGATGTGTTTGGTTCAGCTTAACAATACAGCTTATAGTTTTTTGTAAGTCAAAAATCAACTTATTCTTTGAGTGGGGGAGGAGAAGCTTAATTTATAAGTCAAAAATCAGCTTATGTTCACAGCTATAAGCTATAAGCTATTAGGCTATAAGTTATAATCACTTTCTCACAGTTCTACCAAACAGGGCCAATGTATCATTCACAATTTGAAAGAAGATATCATAATAGGCCAAGTATTGTGAGTGAATCTACATTTTCCCCCCAAATAGTGATTGAATCTATCGTAATTTAATAGCTTATATGATTCTATCATAACATAGACATTACAAACAATTAGAGCATTCACGCACTGTTGATCAAATTCTTTATAGGAAATGTTGTTTAATCATTTACTTGGCTTGTTATAATAGATTCACTCACTATTTGACCAACAAAAAAGTTGAATTATATAAGTAACTAGTTTAACCAAAAGAAAATAAATTATTTTAATTGAGGCATTTTACAGAACATGGTGTATGCACAAAGATACAAAATAAAAGAGCATGACTGTACCAAAATAGGCAAAATACCCATAATGAAATCCTCAAGTTTAGAGAGAAATGAGGAGATGAAGAGGGGCCAAACTAATTTGTAGAAAAAGTCCTCAAGAAGCATTCAACAAAATTTCAAGTAGTATTTTGAACACAACAATGTGAGATTTTATTGGCAACAATGCACAGGGAAAAAAAAAAACACAAAAAACACAACCAAAAAAGAAAAGAAAAAACACAAAAAAAGGAAAATAAAAAAGAAATAGAACACAAAAAAAGAAACAGAACACAAACCCAAAAAAAGAAAGAGAAACCCAAACACATAGATAATGAAAGATAGAGTTTAATAAACAAAAGCAACTTACTCTAGTCAAGGTCTTCAGCAAATGAATTTCACAATACCTCTTTAGATCTTCAAGGCTTTCCCAAAAATCATGAAGTTTTACTTGATTTCAAGCTAATTCAATCCCTTCATGCTTATCAAATTATCTAATACTACACAAACAAACAAACAAACAAACAAACAAACAAAAATAAGGAAAAAGAATTCATTACATGAAATAGCAAGTTATGAAAAAGTATTAATTTTGCAATCTCAATTATATGTCAAAGTTTCCATAAATTCAGGACTTTTTGCAAT